ATGCAGTCCAATTGGGAGAGACAAAATATCGAATCGATTAAAAAACTGTCTGCCATCTGTTTGTAAAATGGTTAATGACATTCGGACCTGGTTTCGGAAATGCGATCACCTGGTACATTTTCAAATGACTGAGCCGTGAAAAATTTGTCTGTGTACAATGCACAAGTCAGATGCGAATGCCTCTGTACAGCTCAAACTGTCCTGTATGTAATGTCGGATAGCAACGATGAAAAACAGCAACACAAAGGAGACAACTAGTTTTGCCAAGTGAATCACAAAACGTACCGTTCAGCATTCAGATATCGCATTTTGTGACGCTTCTCCACAATTGGAAGATAGGCCGGAATGATGGCTTCAGCACAAGACTTGAATTGTGTGAATGCAAACGGAAATGTGAAGAGAAGGGTAATTTCAACCACCGCTCCCAACCAGTTACACTGGACAATCAAAATGGACTCCGAAAATCACAGACATTTTTGCGATAGAGAACACATGCATCAGTCCAAAAATGAAGCAAACCGTAAGCACTCATAGTTCTATTCAGTTCAATTTTTACAACCAGTAACCATGCCCTTTCGTGCGCCGATTTCGGTTGCTGTCTTTTGGTGCCCCATTTGGATAAAAGAGCAGAATGAAGATTGGAATGTTGAAAGTAAATTCAAGTGGAAGATAAGCACTCGTAACCCTTACATATCACCAGGCGAAAAAAAACGAGGAACAGGTCTATTAAGTTTCAGCGTTGATTGAGTTTGACCATTAGAGTGCAAACATTTCAACAACATTTGAACTGCTCAACCACATCTGTGAAGCCGACAGTGCATCAAAAACAGAAAGGGACAATGATGCAATTGCATACTGCTTACTTAAACGTTTGGTAGTAGTCAAAATGTTTCATACCAAAAGAGTGGCAAATCTCTGGTAGTGACGACAAACCACCGTGTAGACAAAATCGACAAAACACATTCAAATATAAATCAGTGTGCAACGACAGTACCATCATATGTCGGGGGAAGCATGGTTTATTGTATATAACCATCGGGTTTGATAAAATGTCAGTGGATTTCAGTTTGTACAACCATTAGTGCGGTTTTTTCGTCATCTGTTTCTGTTCGCTGTCCTTCAAGAAGCCAAGGCAGAACAGAGTGAGATTAGATCGCGAGTTGATCGAAGCGAACTATTAAATTACAGAATGGTTTGGAACTAGATGTCCGTAATTCTAATATGCCCAAACTGGATGGAAGATCCAAGTGCTTTCGATAAATACAGTCGAATAAACCTCCGAAAGCCTCAGTATGGTCGGGGTAGGTGTATGAGATTGAGACTGGTCAGCATTCCCTTACACCTCGCGAAACGCTCCTATATGACCAAGCGTCTCAAATAACCTCTGCTGAGGAAACCCCACTCACTGCCTTCTCGTGGCGGAGGTGTAATAAACTTGTACATATACGGTGCAAATCCACCGGGTTGTCAAGATCAACCAAAAGACGGTAACCAAAACCACCCTGCATCGTTAATGGTTGTTCAAACTGGAGCTAAGCGTAATAAAATCACTTTGTATCTGGATTTATATATAAACAGCGCAATATTTATTGTGATGTACTTGGCATGACTACGAATCACTTTGTATCCATTTACTGCAGGCAGTTTGGAATCTATATTCTCCAGATGGCAAAACTTAGGCTCCTGTACAGAACAGTTACAGAGATAGGTGGACAAGAGTGAGTGGTCTTATTATAACCTCGTGCATCGCATTGCACTTTCCAAACCAAACTATGTAAATCACCATGGACTAAGTCAATCACAACTTCCCGGGTCTGACAAAAAGGGTGATGTGTATCTGGGGACTGCCGAAACATTAACACATGTTTGATCTCTATGGAGTAGCATGATTAAACAAAAAAGCCGCACAATATGCCCTTTTTGGCGTGTGAACAGGTATTTGGTTGATCAACTCGACATCGTTACTGGCATCCGTAATTGAAACAAGATTGAGTTTCAACGAAAAAAACACGCAAGTGTATCCATGCGATAAAAACTCACCCGAATGAATTCAAAAGTCTTCTCGTGTGATTCACCCTCCAGATCGTCAAAGAATATGCCACCGATTCCACGAGTCTCACCTGTACATGAAAATAATCACAAAGTGGATACACGTTGAAATCGCGCAGTTTACAGCACATATCCAGGGTTAGATGGACGCTTTTATTGTTATTGTTATTACTGTTGTAACGTTGGCACCATGCTTGTCCGCAAAGTACTGTTATATACATATATATATATATATATATATGGTGAGAAATATTTGCTTGGATCTACAACGCCTCCCGTAACGCTCACCTTAAACACAGAAATTCAGGATATAGAAAACATGGGTAAACCTCATGTAGAGAAGTGAAGAATGATAGTCTGACGAGCAGCCCGTTGATATGGACCTCGACGATATCAAGATTAAAAGTTCGAGGGAAGACGGGGCGGGGGGAGAGATAGTGTGTTTGACAATCCGGTAGCTATTGGGAAAGGAAATGAGAGATCCGTAGTGAAGACAGGGTTATTTGGTTGACAACTGTGGCGGTTAGAAAAAGGTCAAGAGCGGTCAAACGAAGATCTGGCATGATAGTATGAAAATCCTTATCAATACATTGGTCCCCTTAGGCTTCCTGGCTGGGAACCTCGAGACCCTGGTCACCGATAGTTAGAGACACTGAGCGATATTGCAAGGTGTCGCAAACAGTGGCGCCCGTGCATCCACTCATCATTCCCCTAACACCATTCTGTACGAATTCTCCATCTTCCGCTTGAATTTGCTTTCAACATTCCAATCTTCATTCTATTTCGCCTGTTCATCGAGCTTGGCAATTTGTTTGCAAACGTTTCATCACCAGCCGAGGTGACATCATCAGTGCTTGTGAAGTGGCAGTCTTCTGCTTGTGTCCGTTCGTTTATATATGTGTTCTTCTCCACCGACCATTGTTGTCCCTTGTTCTCATTGTGTTCGACTGGGTTCGCCGTTAAACTGGTGCGTGGGGGCGAGGTTGGTAGGGGAGGTGGTTGTCCATCCGTCCTGATTGCGGTTTCGGTCCGTTCTCAGGTCACGGCGTGACCGTATTTTTGTTGCGTCACTTGATCCTTGAGTTGCATTGGCGTGTACACGTGATCCAGTTCAATGTGCCTGTTGATTGAGGATTGCCAAGCTTCAAGAAATCCTCTGGCGTGTTTTTACCGGGCTTGGTCGATAATTTTCACTGAAGCGAAGTCAAACTGATGTCCTTCTTGTTCTTCGTGGAGTGAAATCAAAGATAATGGGTCATGCCTCCTGACTGCCGCTTGGTGTTCACGGATCCTTGTTGACAGTTTTCTCCCAGTTTGTCCGATATAGTGTTTTGAGCAGTTCTTACAATTTATTTTATAGATAACACTGCTCTTGTCGTTCTCCATTGTTCTCTCCTTTGGTTTTGACAGAGGTCTCCTTAGACAGGCGGTAGGTTTGTGGGAAGCGACTGATGCCGTTCAGCGCTGGACACGAGTATAGCGTCATGAACTCAAAGCAAGCTGAAAACT